GTAGATTTTAAATTTTGTGTAATATTTTTTTTTATGTTTCCCTAATACTAACAATTTCACCCAAATTTGAATGCACGGGAAACATTCTGTTATAAAGAAGACTTGTTAAAATCTTGAGACAGTCACGGTAACAAATTACGAATCGAAACATTTTGTTGGGATCAAAATCAAAGGGTAAAACTTCGTAATGAGTCGTTTTTTTTCTTTTTTTGGTACGCTGGCTTGAAATTAATTTGTTAAAATTGAAATTTGAACAAAAGTATTTATTTGGCAACCGAAAAATTATCTATTTTTGTTCAAAATGTCAGGGTTGAGCAGAGCAGATACTTGACCGAAAGGAAATCGTGTTCCGTTTAGATTTTTTTGCGTAGTGTCTATCATCCGTTTTAGACCAATTGAAATGACCAAAACCTATAGAGCTTTTACCTCAGATCCCAAATCGTCACACAACGTACATATTTCGGGGCACAAGTCCGGGATCTAAAAACATTTTTTGCATATTATTTTGTTGTTATTATTATTATTGGTCAATTCAATGATCAATAAACACAATACATACAAATTTTTTTTTGATTTTGACCATTTGAGGGATAATGGAAAAATTTTATTTTAATTTTCTTTCGGAGAAAACAAATCTTTGCAAAGGGGTTTTTTTAATTAACAAAAAAAAAGCTTGGTTAATTCTTTCTTGACAATCGAAATTTGTAAATGACTTTTGATGTTTGCATGAAGTTATTCTTTTATAACAAGAGACTTGAAAAAAAAAATTCAATTGATCCAATTGACCTTTAACCTGGGATAAATAGATAAACACGAAGAAAAGATCAGGACAAAAGATCTCTCTTTTTTTAATTATGAAAAAAAAGCTTAGTTGATTTTTTTTAACAATCGAAATTCATAAATAGCTTTTGATTCACATGAGGGTTCTTCTTTGCAAAGGATCTTTTTATTAAATTTATTAATTTCGTAAACAATTTCACTTTGTACATGTAATTTTTTTAAATAAATAATTTTTTTGCTCAACGCAATGAATAAAACATGACCGGCTAATGTTGATGCTCTGAACGAATATATAGATTCCTCGCATTTAGATGTAACCTGTAAAGCTGAATCATATATAGAACACCATTTCAGCATTATGTGCATCGACCCTCGAGTTCGAATGCAACGTAAATTCGGTAAATTTGCGCAGCTTTGAGGCTAAAATCTTCCACAAAAACATGACATATCAGCAAAATGAAATCGTAACTTTGTCTTGGCTTCAAAAACACAATCGTTCTTGGAGGATTTGAAGGAGACCAATAAAAGTTGCAGGACTAAGCGACTTGCACTATATGTATTGATTGATATTGTAACTATTGTTTTTTTTTATTATATATACAAACAGGGATTGATATTTTTACCAATCATAGTCTATATGTTATAGATTAATATCACATAAAAAACGCAAATTTGGTCAGAGAGCCTCGAAGGTTAGTTTTATTAGAAAAGGTCTCATATAATGTTTAAAACAAACTTCAAAAACTTTAAGCTTTTGTTTTTCCTGACAACGAATTGAAACTAAAAAAATTGTGGCAATTAGGACCGTTGTTTTAGTAAATAAATATTTCCCAAAAAAAAATACTCTATAATAACAATAATAATAGTAATAATAATACACTATTTAAAATCTTTATTATAACAATTAAATTTTTTATATATGTTGTATAGTCATATATATGTATATGTGTTCGAACAGTTGTAAACATAGTAACCTTTTCTAAAAATATTCTTATAGAGATGTTGTTATTAGATGGATGTATTTTCCAATAAGCTTAATAGTAATTGGTCCCCAACATATGCATTATAGATGAGTTTTTATATGATGTTCTTATATACGGTCAGACCTTGTTTCAACGAATCTATGTATGAACTGAAATTTATATTAGATATGGAAGGGCGAAATTCCTTTTTAAAATTCACGTGGATTTCATTTTCACGCCAAAAGAGTAAATGGATACTTTTGTAAGGATCATATCTTTCGATTTTATCTACTACAAGTAAGTAAATTGTTGGCAATAAAATCTTTATAAATTAATTATTTTTAAAAAAATTAAGGGGTTTTTTAGTATGTTAAAGTCAGGCTAAGCCGCTTAAATTTCTCTCAGCCGGCTGATATCGCTATGCCAACTTTAAACTTGTTAATGAAATGAACTGGGTTGGTTAATAAAAAATTTTTTTTATATATATATAGATCATTTTAATTTACAAAAAATAATCTATTTATCAGCTGTTCAAGCTAAGCAAGTCATCCAAGCATAAATTACTTAGCCGGATGACGTCACTACTCATATTATGGACGATATTCGAATATTTAAAGGATTCATTTATAAAATAATAGCTGGGTTACTATCAACTGTACACAATTTGAAAAATAAAGAAAAAGTGAAAATCAAAATGAAATTAAATATTTCTCTTCTCTTTTTGATGATCTTTGCTGTTGTTGCTTCAGCAAATCCAATTGATGATGGTTTGAAGAAACGAGGTATTTCATTTATTATTATTATTATTGTTGTTATTTCAATATTAACTGTTGGTTTTTATCCTATTTTAAAAATAAATAGTCGAGTAAATATTTTCATCATTATTATTATTACAGTCAATAATATCATTGTTTTTGAAAAATATTAATTGTTGATTTTCATTTATTTTTAAATAACAAATAGAATGTAAGTGTTTTCATCATCATTATTATTACATCAATATTATTCTTGAAAAAATGTTAACTGTCGATTTTCATTTTGTTTTAAATAATGAATAGCGAGTGAGTATTTTCATAATTATTATTATTATTGCAGTCAACATCATTGCTTTTAAAAAATCATTAACTGTTGGTTTTCATTTTGAAAAAATAATGAGTAGCTTGTAAGTATTTTCATCATCATTATTGTTATTACATTCAATATTATTCTTGAAAAAAATATTAACTGTTGATTTTAAATAATAAATAGAATGTAGGTATTATTATTAAATCCAATATTATTCTTGAAAAATATTAACCATTGACTTTCATTTTATTTTAAATAATGAATAGTCGGTAAGTATTTGCATTATTATTGTTGCAGCCAACATCATTACTGTTAAAAAATATTAACTGTTGATTTTCATTTTATTTTAAACAATAAATAGTCCGTATGTATTTTCATCATTATTAAATATTATTCTTGAAAAAATATTAACTGTTGATTTTCATTTTATTTTAAACAATAAATAGTCCGTATGTATTTTCATCATCATTATTATATTGCAGTCAATATCATTGCTTTTGAAAACATATTAACTGTTGATTTTTATTTCGAAAAAATATTAACTGTTGTTGATTTAAATCATGAATAGCATGTAAGTATCTTTGTTATTATTATTACATTCAATATTATTCTTGAAAAAATATTAACTGTTGATTTTCATTTTATTTTAAATAATAAATAGTCAGTAAGTATCTTTGTTATTATATTACATTCAATATTATTCTTGAGAAAATATTAACTGTTGATTTCATTTTATTTTAAATAATAAATAATTTCATGATCATTATTATTACATTCAACATTATTCTTGAAAAAATATTAACTGTTGATTTTCATTTTGTTTTAAATAATAAATAGCTGGTAAGTATTTTCATCATCACTATTGATAACAGTCAGTAATGTAATTGTTTTCAAATATTAACTGATGATTTTCATTTCATTTCAAATAATGAATAGAAAGCAAGTATTTTCATCATTACTATTGTTACAATCAGTAATATAATTGTTTTTGAAAAAACATTAACCATTTGAACTTCATTTTATAGGGCGTAGATATCTTCTTCAGTTCTCTAATGGCTTCATTTATTACTTTAAGATTTAAGTTTTGGTAATATAAATCTTTGATCTTATATTTATTTTATTTTTATTGTTGGTTATGATTTTTTTATAATTAAAAAAATATATCTATTATATATTCCTTGGAAATAAAGAATTCTTTATGTTTATAGTTTTTACATTGCGTAAGATTTATAGTGTTTATACAACATAAATAATAGATAAAACAATTCCACCGAATTAATAATAACACTCACTCATACACAATAAGTGTTTATTTATAATTTGAAAAGGCAAATAAACAAGTTTTATGTGTCAACATAAATGGGGAATGAAAAAGGAATAAAGTTTTATATCCAATAAAAGAGTAAATATTTATGTTATGTAATGTTTATAACAAAAAGATTAGTATAGTATGTTAATATTAATATCCATTTATCAAAACTATATCTGGATATCCTATCTGTTATCAAAACTTGTCCAGATCCAAGCTCTAAATTACAACATATAAATATAAAAAAACTTGAGGGTGGAAAGATGGGGAATCACGTTGATGTCAATTATGTGTATTTTTCATCAATCAATCATTTTTATAGTGTAAATGACAGTTAAAAGCTCTCTATTCCATCAAAACTATTAAACAAATTCTTTTTATTTTATAGCCAACATGACTTTTTAATATTATAACTGTCTTCTAAGTAATAAACATTCTCATTATATAAATATTTATAATTTTTGATGCTTCTGTATTTTCTGGATTGTTAACATGGATTCCATTATTAATGGCTAATATCTTTCCACTACTTTCAACACATGTTGTCATATTGATGCACGGTCAATATTGTTAGTGTGATAATCATCTAATACTTAATAGATGTAATGATTTTTCAGGGAGGGATATAATAATGTATTTTTCTAAATATGCCTACTCAATTAAAATATGTTATAGTTCATGGAAAAATACACAATGATTATTATTATATATATAACTAATTATACAACAATTGGAAATCAACTAATACAATGGCATAAATAATCAAATAATCAAATCACTATATTATAAAAAAAATATTTTATTATCTAATTATTCTAATTCTAATTATTCTAATTATTATTTATTTTTTTTTTTTTGCATATTCTATTAATAATGATGATAATTTAATTTTTCCATAAATCTTGTTTTAAAGGTAATTTTTTACTTTGCTCAATTGTATCTAATGATAACTTCATAATTTGTTCATGAATTTTTGATATTGATTTATTTGCATCTAAAATCTACAAATATTAGAAAGTAAATTGATAAATGTATTTCTCATCAATCAATACATTTTCCTATTTGATTTCTCACCTTCCAAAATCTAGGATCTTCTAATTTTAAAAAATTATCTTTCACTTTTTGCTGAAACTCCAATTTCTCATACCTTTCATTGCCAAAACCTTTTCTTTTCAATAATTCTTCAGAAGGCATATTCATAAAAATCACTATATCTGGTGTCAATAATCCTATATCAGATGATTTACACCAATTAAAATCTAATCCCTAAATAAATAAATAAATATATATATATTAATAATTAATCATTACTTTTTAGAACAAATCCAATATATAATATCTTTATAAATAACTATACTTTTGCAGTAGAATATACAACACCAGAAAATACATAGCGATCAACTATTAAAGTTGTACCATCAAGAAGATAATTTTTCATCGCTGAACTAGAACATTAAAAAATAATAATAAATGAATATATATTTATAAACATTTATATGTTAATGTAAATATTTACATGTGTTCCCATCTATTAGCAGAAAATAATAAATGAACTGCATTATCATCCAAATCTTCTTCACTTTTTAAATATGAATTAATCAATTGCCCAATCAAGGTTGATCTATCTATTATAATTATCATCATTGTCATTATTAAATTATTCTATAAACATTTTAAAGATTATTTATTAAAATTACCAGGAAAATGCATCAACTTAACATTAGCTCCATCATTTTTTAAATGGTCATAAAGCCTTTTTGCTTGCGTTGATTTTCCTGATCCATCACAGCCTTCAAGAACAATAAGTGCTCCACGGTTTTTATTAGGATTTTCAATAGTGTTGTTTAAAATGTTTAAAGGCATTTTTTTTTAATTCAAAACAAAAATAATTTAGGGGTGTTATTATTATCATTATCATATGACATGTACAACAAAAAAATATTATTACGAGCTTTAAATAACACGAATGAGAACGCAAAGTGAGCTTTTACTTTTTACGTGTTGCATGATCACGTAAGATAATAGTCCATTCGAAACATATAATAAATAGGATGGCCGTCCCCACTTTTTTTTTCGCAACACCAACAACGTAGAGATATTTCTCTCAACCATTTTGGTGCAAGAAACTTCTACATTCGGACACAACGTCCCTGTCCTTCAGGCAATCAAGGCAAAACTTGAGTTTACGGTTCAACCACATTTTGATTTGGTCATCCAATTCATCTACTTTGCTTTTTTAGTTTAAGTCAAGAAAGAAAAATAAAAAAATAAAGAAAATAATTATATAGGATTGTTATGAATACTAGCATTACCAATGAAAAAGTTTCTTTATTACTTCAATATTTTGTATATTATATATTATAAAGTTACAAGAAGATAAAGATAAAGATATTTTAAGTTAAGGAAATTACAATGTTATTTATACATTCTAAAGGTTCAGTCATCTAGTTCCTTTATTTCTGGGATGTAGTAATTTAAAAAATAATCTAGATGTTCCTTTTGGGGATGATGATTTTTTATTGGGGTGTGCAAGCATTCCAAGAAAATCATGTATTGAGTTAATTAGATTTAAACAGTAATTGAAAAAATCTCCTCATTTAACACCATCATAAATTTCAACATTAGTTCTTCCATAATAGAAATAGAACAATTTGATGTACAAGGTCTTTTTTATTTCAGTTTGATATCCCAATTGAATGGAAGCATTCAATAAATTCCATTTTTATTGGCTCTTCCTTCATGAAAATAAGGGTGATATTTCCTGGATGAAGGTTTTTGTGAAATTAATTTGTTACGTCATTTCTTTCTTGGTTGTTGATTTTAAAAGAATCGAGAACCTCAGAATCCTTTAGCACTTCTTTTATTTATTGGTAAAAACAACAACAGTTGCTAAACGAAATGTTACTAAAGTTGTAAACTATTACGTCGAATTCGCTGCCATTGAGTCAAAAATGACGCAAGTAAAATTGCTTTAAAGGCTAATAAAATATAAAAAGCTCACAAAAAAACTTTTTTTTTTATATATTTTTCTCGAGTATCCAATCTCTCCTTTGTTTCATCAGTTGTTCCCAAGGAACTAAGTTTTTCTTTTGCTGAATACAAAAGTTCAATTCCCACACACTCATTTACTACTAAACTCAAACATCTCTTATATTAATAACATGATACATGATCGGAGTACTTTATGTTCCAGGGTCAATTAATTTTAGTATATCAAATGAAATTTTACGCAAAAACTTTTTATAATTATTACTGTGTAAATAATTATGGAAGTTTTATATTGATTGATTTACTTTGCATCTTTATCTTTATCCTTATTGTTAGTAGTGATCAACGAAAATTTCATCAAGGATAATAATAACTTCTGATCTTCGCTTGAAAAAATTCGGGTCCTCGCAGAGGAAAATAATACATTCTAATAAAATAAAAAACACCGATAGAATCATTATTTTCATTAAATAAAATTAATCGTTAATAAAATTTTAAAAATAAAAATAAAAACAAAAACATTGTCTTTATTTTCTTTGTTTAAAGCACTTTGATAAAACAGTAAGTGTAGTTAGTGCCTTGGTAAAGGGTAACAATTATAGAGCTCTAGTAAAAAGCCGTGTTTATTTGCTTTAGTGAGTAAGCAAAGGTTTGGACTACCGTTGTTTAGCTAGTGGGTATTAATGAAGTAATATCATTGTGGTCGTAAATGTAAGGCTGTTAAACAAGTTACTCAAGTTGCTTTTTCAAGTAAACCAAAACGAGTTTGCAATCGACCAATAAATATAAACAACTGAAACAAATCGATCACAAATGAATAAAAGGAATTTTGTAGTATTGTAAAAAGGCCATCTTTATCTTGACTAAAGTAAAACCACTTGACGTAAGTAAAAATTTTGATGCAAGTAAAAACACTTGATACAAGCAGCAAGTAAAAAAATGATTAGTTTAATGATGGTGGCCATTAAGTGTGCTCACAGATTCATCTAGATGCGGTAATCGAAAACCAAAGTAAATTCCACAAACTAATTAATTGACAAGCACCGAATTATTAACTGACAAGAGTAACCCAAAAGTTAACCCATAATTGTTAATTAGCCGAAATGATACATCACCATTTAACAAGAATCAAAAAATTGTAAAAAGTTATTATTTCAAAATATTGTTACAGGATAAGAATAAAATAAGGATGAAATAAAAATATAAATAAAAAAGAAGATAATAAATTTATAGTGGAGATTAAATTAGTCATTCATCGCATCTTTTCTTTTACTATTATTACTAGAATTTAATGTCAATTAATTAAATTAATTAATATTGTTAGTAGTAATTAATGGATAGTAATTTCCAATTAATTAATAATGAAATTTTATTCACCTTTGTTAACATTTAGAGAAAGGGGTTAAAATCAAGATTATTCAACGAACTATCATTACTTGTATAAATTTTTAAGCTTCTAGATTTAGCAATCTCTTCATCTA